GATGAACTAGACAGTATAAGGGATGAGCTAGAAATATTAGAGCTGAGCTAGAACATACATGTACTGGGATGAACTAGAAGTTATTGTGGATGAGATAACAAAATCTTGGGGATGAGATAGAACAGTTTGGGGCATATTGTGGATGAGCTAAAAAATATTGGTGATGTGATAAAAAATACTTGGGAGCAGCTAGAAATGATTGTGGATGAGATAAAAAGTATTGGGGATGAGATAGAAAAGTATTGGAAATATTGGGGATGTGCTAAAAATAATGGTGATGTGATTTTTTTTTTAATTGGGGGGGGGGGGGGGGGGGGGTGAGCTAGAAATTATTGTGGATGAGCTAAAAAATATTGGTGATGTGATAAAAAAAAATACTTGGGAGCAGCTAGAAATTATTGTGGATGAGATAAAAAATATTTTGGGGATGAGATAGAAAAGTCTGGGGAATATTGGTAGTGAGCTAAAAAATATTGGTTATGTGATACAAAAAATATTGCAGATGAGTTAGAAAATAATAAGGATTTTAAAATACGTGTATAGGAATAAGATAAAAAGTGTTGTGGATGAGATACAAAAGTCTTCGAAATATTGGGGATGAGCTAAACATTATTGGGCATGAGCTAATAAATATTGGTAATGAGACAGAAAAATATTCTGTATGAGATTGAAAAGTCTGGGGAATATTGGGGATGAACTAAAAAATATTGGTGATGTGATATAAAATATTGGGGATGAGCTAAAAAATATTCCAAAATATTAGGGATGAGATAGAAAAGTCTGGGGAATATTGGGGATGAGCTAAAAAAAATATCGGTGATGTGAAATAAAAATATTGTGCCTGAGTTAAAAAATATTGAGGATTTTATAATATTGGAATAAGATTTTTTTAAAGTGTTGTGGATGAGATACAAAAGTCTTCGAAATATTGGGGATGAGCTAAACATTATTAGGGATGAGATAGAAAATATTGGGGATGAGCTAAAAATTATTGGGGATGAGAAAGAAAATATTGGGAATGAGCTAGAAAATTTTAAGGTTGAGCTATAAAATACTGGGAATGAGCTAGAAAACACCTGGGGGTGAACTAGAAAATACTGGGGATGAGCTAAATAACACTGGGGATTCGCTACAAAATATTAGTGTTGAGCTGGAAAATATTGGAGAAGAGCTAGAAAATAGTGGTGGTGAGGTATAAAAAAATAGGATTCCACTAGAAATGAATATTAAGGTTGAACTAGAAAATATTAGAGATAAGCTAAAAAATACTGAAGAATATTTTGGATAAGCCAGAAAATATTGCTGATGGGCTAGAAAATGCTGGCAAATTTTGGGGATCTGCTAGAAAATATTGGGAATTATCTACACAATACTGAGGAACACTGTGGATGAACTAGAAAATGTTAGGGATAAGCTAGAAAATACTGGGGATGAGCTAGAAAATTTAAGGATTGAGCTAGAAAATACTGGAGATGACCTAGAAAATATTAGGGTTGAGCTAAAAAAAAATACTGGGGACGAGCTAGAAAATATTGGGGATGAGCTAGAAAATAATTGATATGAGCTAGAAAATACTGGGGATGAGCTAGAAAATATTTAAGGTTGAGCTAGAAAATATTGAGAATGAGCAAGAAATTACTGGGGATTAACTAGAAAATAGTGGGGAGGAGCTAGAAAATACAGGGGATGAGCTGAATAACACCAGGGATTCGCTAGAAAAGATTAGGGTTGAGCTGGAAAATATTTTAGATGAGCTAGAAAATGGCGGTGGTGAGCTATAAAAAAAAAATTCAACTAAAAATATTAGGTTGAGCTAGAAAATATTACAGATGAGCTGTATAATACTGGGGAATATTTGGGATAGGCCAGAAAATATTGGGGATGCGCTAGAAAATACTGGCAATTTTGGGGATCTGCTTGAAAATACTGGGAATTATGTAGAAAATACTGAAGAATACTGTGGATGCGCTAGAAAATGTTCGGGATGAGCTAAAAAATCCTGGGGATGAGCTAGAAATGTTTAGGATTGAGTAAGAAAATACTGGAGATGAGCTAGAAAATATTAGGATTGAGCTAAAAAATACTAGGGTTGAGCTAGAACATACATGTACTGGGATGAGCTAGAAATTATTGTGGATAAAATAAGAAATATTGGGGATGAGATAGAAAAGCCTGGGGAATATTTGGAACGAGCTTTTAAAAAAATGGTGATGTTTTAATAAATATTGTGGATTAGCTAGAAATAATTGTGGATGAGACAAAAAATAAATATTGGGGATGAGATAGAGTCTGGGGAATATTGGAAATGAGCTAAAAATATTGGTTATGTGATAAAAAAAATATCGGGGATTAGCTAGAAATTATTGTAAATGAGATAACAAAATTGGGGATGTGATAAAAAAAAAATAGTGGGCATGAGTTAAAAGAAATCAAGGATTTTAAAAATATTGGCAATAAGATTTTTAAAAACTGTTGTGGATGAGATTCAAAAGTCTTCGAAATATTCGGGATCAGCTAAAATATTTTGGGAATGAGTTAAAGAATATTGGGGATGAGATAAAAAAAAATATTGGTAATGAGATAGAAAAGTTTGAGGAACATTGGGGATGGTTAGAAATTAATAATGAGGATGAGCTAGAAAATATTGGGAATGAGCTAGAAAATGTTAGGGTTGAGCTATAAAATACTGGGAATGGGCTAGAAACATTAGGGATGGACTAAAAAATAGTGCGGATGAGCTAGAAAATAGTAACGTTGAGCTAAAAAAAATTATGGTTAAGCTAGAAAATTATAGAGGGGATGAGCTAGAAAATATTAGTATTGAGCTAAAAAAAATACTGGGGATGAGCTAGAAAAAGCTTCCAAATTTTGGGGATCTGCTAGAAAATACTGGGAATGATCTAGAAAATACTAAGAAATACTGGGAATGAGCCCAGAAAATATTAGGGTTGAGCTGGAAAATACTGGGGATGAGCTAGAAAATATTGGGAAGGAGCTAGAAAATACATGTACTGGGATGAGCTAGAAATTATTGTAGATGAGATAAAAAAAATATTGGGGATGAGATAGAAAAGTCTGGGGAGTATTGGAGAAAAGCTAAAAAATATTGGTGATGAGATAAAGAATATAGATCTAGGGGATGAGCTAGAAATTATTGTAGATGAGATAAAAAAAATATTGGTGATGTGATAAAGAATATAGATCTAGGGGATGAGCTAGAAATTATTGTAGATGAGATAAAAAATCTTGGTGATGTGATAAAGAATATAGATCTAGGGGATGAGCTAGAAATTATTGTAGATGAGATAAAAAAATCTTGGTGATGTGATAAAGAATATAGATCTAGGGGATGAGCTAGAAATTATTGTAGATGAGATAAAAAATATTGGTGATGAGATAAAGAATATAGATCTAGGGGATGAGCTAGAAATTATTGTAGATGAGATAAAAAATATTGGTGATGAGATAGAAAAGTCTGGCATGGTGTTTGCTTCACATTAAGGAGCTCTCATGGTCTAGAGGGATAGTGTTTGCCTCTCATTCAACAGATCACGGGTTCAAAACCTAACAGCGGCAGTAAATTTTCTTCTCTAAAAAATTTTTCGGTCCCCCTCCTTTCCTGCTCTCTTATCATGTTCTGTCGTCTGCTTTCATCTCCACTTTCTGCCCAGCCTGTGCCAATCCTCTGAGCTCCCGACTCTTTCTGCAACCTTTCTGCTGCTACTCCATGGCTCCTTCTTACTGTTGTCTTTCCGCCACACCCCTGATCTTAGGGTAGGTAAGATCGAATACCTTGCTGGAGAAAGGCAAAAAATCTTGGAGGGCCCGTGCGCAAGTTGGGCACTTTAAAGATGCCTTGATGGTCCAAAATTGATAAGAGTAGGCTTCGGCCCCCACCTGGGCAAAATTCAAAATTACTTCCTACCAAACTGAAAATATTTAATGTGTCTCGCATATTCATATATGACCTTACGCAGTTGTGAGTGCCGTAAAACACTTACCAAAAACCCCCCCCCCACAAAGTAATCATCACATAATTCAAAAGACTTCGGTACAAGGAAAACCAACAGGAGGAAGACCAAGGAAAAGCACAACACAACCTAAAGGACATGACAGGAAGTGGGCGGAGCTCGACAGCAGCAGAAAGTTCAGCCGTGGGAACACCAGATTGACCTTGCCCCCATGCATAAGATACCGGTACACGGAGAAACAAGATGGAGAAACGTAATGTACGTACCGACCGCTGAGTGAAAATCTACATCTTACGTCACTTTTCCAAAATTGAATGGCAGGCTCTTCCACTGAGCTGTCGATATATATACACAGGTACCCAGCTCCAATTGGGAATAAATTACCAATTAAAATAAACCTGACTCGTCTTTTGAAACCTTTAAACTGGTAGATTCTATTTGGATATATTTTCCGTACCCGTCTGCTTGTCCACTTTTATGTAAAAGTTTTCCACCCCCAACTCATCACAGCCACAACTTCCCATCTACTATCTCTTTCTAAAGGACAAGAAGAGTGAAGAATCTTTTTTCCCTCTCTGCTCACCTGTAAAAAACCCCCCCCAAAAAAAGCAAATTCAAGACTGCCCTACTGGGGATCCAAACCCCGACCCCCTGCACGGTAGGCCCAGCATGATACAATGTACCTACACAGCTTACAACACACTCCTCACATTGTAGAAAGTTTTTTAGCTAGTAAAGATTTTACGCCGCTTGGAACACAATAAGGTCATCATATAAGTGCAGAAGTTTAGAGGTGTTACAAGAGAGTAACAAACACAAAAAAGAAGGAGGAGAGATCAGGACGATAGATGTTTGATAGGATAGAAGGAGCAAACCACACCAGAGCACCTGCCAGCCACCCACAGATTGTAGGAAAAGACATCAATTTGCCAAAGGATGATAGTAGCAATAGAAGTGTTCTCAGTTAGGAAAATTGTATTGTCTTTTTTTGTACAATCATAATGCAATAAAGAAAAAGAAAAAAGCTTTCAAGTTTACGAAAAATTCATTATTTTTATTGACATCCTGTCATACATACGCATCTATTAGAGGCAGATGAATACATCACTTTCAAGTGGAGAAACTTGTCAAATGAAAACAAACAAAGATGTATAAATTATATCTCATGTAATTAGAGTTGTCTTTATACAAACAAAAAAAAAGTTGATAGACCATAAGAAAATTGAGCCGAACTAATTCCTTTCTCATTTCAAATCTATAACATATAGGCTATATATATATATATATTTCCCACTCAACCAAAGTAGCAAACACCACTATTGCTGAACAGTTTATAAAACTAGACAAAATGTACTAATTTCTCCCCCCCCCCCCCCCCCCCCTCCTTTGAAAGAAAGAGTATGCTATGATGTAAGGCACAAAACAACATTTTGTGATTCAGGTTAAAATGTTTCATCCTAAAGAATGTACAAAAATGTTACAGTCGGGCTCAGGGTCGTGAAACAACACAGACCAGTGTAATGTACAGAATCACAAATAGCAAAATGATGGATGGACGGGACGGATATGCTGAGATTGTTCCAAACTTTGTTCCTACATGCGTTTTTCTCTCTCTCTTCTCTCACTCAGCGATCCAGCACTTTGAAGAAATACTCCACCTGTGGAAAAAAAGACGTGGGTCGTTGTTAGTTGTCTGTGGACTGGGTCAGAGACATTCACTGAGCTCATTAACCCTATCCGTACATCGTGTTTTACTATCGTATCCATATGACGTGGGGAACTCTGTGCCACCACTTTCCAAAGAGGAAAGTCACTCGTTAATCCAATCCGTACGCTTTGCATAGCAGTCTGTCAAAATGATTTTTTGAGAAATACTGAAAGTTTCAAAGAGATATCTGTACTAGAAGTATTCTAAAATGTGAAGAATACAACCCCGGGGGTACAAAATGACCCCAGAGCGTACGGATAGGATTAATTAACTGAATGAAATATCTTTCAACCTACATCAGATGTGTATTCTTAAGCCTACAGCAACATTTTGAATGAACAGAAAAACCCTGAGTGTGTGTTGTATGTGTAGAGGCTGTGGCTAGACAGACATGTCACATCACACAGATTATGTGAGGCATCGTGGTGAAAAACAGTGCTCGTCAAAATTTAGAAATCAAAGAAACTGACGTTTTTTTCTGGCCATCTGGCTGTTTTGTTCTAATTTTCTTTTATTGACTCAACACCCTTTACATTAATTTAAAAACACATTTCTATGTGGATTTTACTGAAAAACTGATTAAGTTTCCAAGGCCTCTCATGCTATGGAAGTTAGCAAACTCTGGCGGTCATTTCCTCGCTAATTTAACCTCTGAAACCAGGCGCCCCTGACCTCCTTCAATCACAAATATCTCGATTTAACCTAGATGGACATTTTTTTGCACCAAGAGCAAGGCAAATGAACAAGCTTTAAAATGATACCAACAACCTCATTTGCCCAAAAATTGACGAGCACCTGATGCTACCACGTAGAGACTCATAATGTGGTGTCTAAACAGTAAACAGCCAATAGATACTCAGTGACACATAATGTCGTGTCTAAACAGTGAACAGCCAACACACACTCAGTGACACATAATGTAGAGTCTAAACAGTAAACAGCCAACACACACTCAGTGACACATAATGTAGTGTCTAAACAGTAAACAGCCAACACACACTCAGTGACACATAATGTAGTGTCTAAACAGTGAACAGCCAACACACACTCAGTGACACATAATGTAGTGTCTAAACAGTGAACAGCCAACACACACTCAGTGACACATAATGTAGTGTCTAAACAGTGAACAGCCAACACACACTCAGTGACACATAATGTAGAGTCTAAACAGTAAACAGCCAACACACACTCAGTGACACATAATGTAGTGTCTAAACAGTAAACAGCCAACACACACTCAGTGACAGACGGCGACAGACAAACCTCGAGAGGCGCGTCCTCGGGAAGGTCGGTACAGTGCACGCCATTTTGCACTTTGTTCATGCCAAACAAGGCTCTCAGCGTCCGCGGCCGCAGGTGTCGGCCGATCTCCTGGAACAAACACCGTGACACCCATGTGAGACCGAGATAACACACAACATGAGACAACAAATGATGTGCGACCGATGTGAGACCGAGATAACACACAACATGAGACAACAAATGACGTGAGACCGATGTGAGACCGAGATAACACACAACATGAGACAACAAATGATGTGCGACCAATGTGAGACCGAGATAACACACAACATGAGACAACAAATGATGTGCGACCGATGTGAGACCGAGATAACACACAACATGAGACAACAAATGACGTGAGACCGATGTGAGACCGAGATAACACACAACATGAGACAACAAATGACGTGAGACCGATGTGAGACCGACACAAACTGAGCACTAGGCCCCCGTGTTCTTCACACACCTCGTTACAAACCAGACACAGACACACAGAAACTGTCTACAAAGGTACCAGCTATCTGTTATCAGCTGGGGGGGGGGGGTTTCCAAGCCCTTTTCTCTTCTGTCACACCTCAGGTACAAGAGATTTTGTGGACACTCAAAAAACAAAACATTTTACAAACTTTCAGGACATCCCAACCCAAACGACCAAATAAGTTTGGAAATAAAAAATCATTACATTTAGTAGAACTCTGAAACAAAATTTTCATTATATCTCTATGAATTCAAAAAAAAGAACAAGCATAAAGAACTCTCAATCCATATATAAGAGGAAATGACAGTTTTGATAGTCAACATTTTATTACAAAGTCCACACAAACAAAATCTTACAGGATCGGCCGGGCCGCAGGCTTCACGGAACGCTTCAGCGACGCAGGTCGGGTCTTTGCCGGTGATCTCCAGGGCAATGACTGGACCGGAGCAAAGCTCGTTCACCATGCCTGGGTACTCGTGGACTACGCCTTTGTAAACCTGAGGCAGAGAGTGATACCCAACATCAGTATCCCACAACCTCATAGATATATATATTATATAAACATGACAATTTGAATACCAACATGACAACGATCAACTCAAACGAGTTCAACACAAGTGGACGCTACTGTACCCACATGATGAATCACTGGATGGTTTTAACTCCTTTCTCGTACTTTTTTTAAAGCAAAGAAAGTCGAAATGTACATAATTCCTTTGCAGTTACTTGGCGCAATAATGCGACGGCGAAAATTATCCGTTCAGATCTTTCTTCCCGTAAAAATTGTTTTTATTACAAATTGAATATATATAATATGTTTAAAAAAATGGCGTGACCCCCAGACATTGCCATTTCAAAATATTGATAAAATAAAAACCGTTCTGACCAATTTAATACAGTTTTCTTTTTCTGTGGGAGCATTTCTTTCTTTCTTTCTTTGCTAATTTTTATTATGATAGCTTTCAGTTTTTTGTGGTTAACGATTCAATATACGCCAAAACTGTCCGGCTGCAATGGTTGTTGGGCTAAAAATAGCTCAGGCTCAAGCGGGTTAATACTTCTGTAACATTCCTTGTGTTGGGGCAAGGTTAAAAACCTACATCAAACACTGACTCACGAGCCATCGGAGCAATCTCTTCTGCAAATTAACATCCACAGCACGTTTCATTCACTGACCCCATTGCTCAGATCGACATTCGCGGCATCATCAGAGCTGAGAGAACGGCAAAATCAATCATTTTACTGAACCAGAAATCACCTCGTAAAACTCTTCCACGTTGGCTTTCTCCATGGTGAACATCTGGATTGTGTTGATGGTGAAGCCGCAGTCCTGAATGGCGTTGATGATTTTCCCAGCAGTACCTGCGGTGGTGAAAACAGACATCTTTAGAAATCTACCTGACATTGAAACATTCTCATCCTTTAGAATTCAACCGCGATATTGAAACATTCTCATCCTTTAGAATTCAAATGTAACATTGAAATGTTCTCAGACTTCAAAATTCATCTATAAAATGAAAATGTTCTCATCTCCGTTCAAACAACAAAAATACCATATAGCCAGCTTTAACTAAGTGCGGTAAGACTACTCTGAAAATTTCTCCACACACACACACACACGCATACACACACACATACACAGCCAGAGTGTATGCGATGTCTCATTGAGAACTGTGATTTATTTACGCCACACACACAAATAGTTCACTCACCACTCTTGATGGCGTGAGGCTTGATGATGCAGCAGGTACAGCCAGAGCCCACCACACAGTTGGGCAGCGACTGGCGGCCGGTCGAGGGAAAGAACGCCTCCACTTCCCTCGCCGTGGAGGCTGGGCTGTCGGATCCGTGCACAGAGTTGTGGGTCACATCTACACACCGTCAGAAACAACGAAATACAATTAAACAAACTGTCAGAGACAATGAAATACAATTATACACACCGTCACGGAGACAAAATACAATTGTACACAATGACACAGACAATGAAATACAATTATACACACCGTCACAGACAATGAAATACAATTATACACACCGTCACGGAGACAAAATACAATTATACACACTGTCACAGACAATGAAATACAATTATACACACTGTCACAGACAATGAAATACAATTATACACACCGTCACAGACAATGAAATACAATTATACACACCGTCACGGAGACAAAATACAATTATACACACTGTCACAGACAATGAAATACAATTATACACACTGTCACAGACAATGAAATATAATTATACACACCGACATGGACAATGAAATACAATTATACACACTGTCACAGACAATGAAATATAATTATACACACCGACATGGACAACGAAATACAATTATACACACTGTCACAGACAATGAAATATAATTATACACACCGACATGGACAATGAAATACAATTATACACACTGTCACAGACAATGAAATATAATTATACACACCGACATGGACAACGAAATACAATTATACACACTGTCACAGACAATGAAATATAATTATACACACCGACATGGACAACGAAATACAATTATACACACTGTCACAGACAATGGAATACAATTATACACACCGACATGGACAACGAAATACAATTATACACACTGTCACAGACAATGGAATACAATTATACACACCGACATGGACAACGAAATACAATTATACACACTGTCACAGACAATGGAATACAATTATACACACCGACATGGACAACGAAATACAATTATACACACTGTCACAGACAATGGAATACAATTATACACACCGACATGGACAACGAAATACAATTATACACACTGTCACAGACAATGGAATACAATTATACACACCGACATGGACAACGAAATACAATTATACACACTGTCACAGACAATGGAATACAATTATACACACCGACATGGACAACGAAATACAATTATACACACTGTCACAGACAATGGAATACAATTATACACACCGACATGGACAACGAAATACAATTATACGATTTATTCTAGACTCAGGGCAGGAAACTGTATTGTGCTTTTGCAAGGCTGCGAAAGAAATTAACTGTAATTAAATAAACAATTACAGCAAACTGAAATAGTACGTTCCCTCTGTCAATCTCTCTCTCTCTCTCTCTTTCTGTTTCTTTTTCTCTTTCTCTCTCTTCTATCTTTCACTCTATTTCTCCTTCTCTCTTTCTTTTCCTCAACAAAAAACTTTTTTTTTTTTAAACTCTGAAAATATTTCTCTTCACAATAGATATTATCGTTAACATTGAACAAAACTACACTGAGGTCTCGTTTGTATGTGTGTCACCGGAATCATATCACTAGCCTAGAATTACAAACTTCGGTCTGCTCAGTATACCTAGTTTTCAGAAATTTTACATGAAAAATTTTTGAGTTTCACAACATGTCAAGCTTATTCAAATGCAGTCCATTAAATGACTTGACAACGACTCCGAATCATCTTGCAATTTTGATAATAGGATCAGAGTACAAGGGACTTCTCTGTCAACTCAACCATACAACTCAAACTAAACTTCACCTAAACAAAAGAAATCTCTTGAATTAAGATTTTGCAGTTACTTGGCGCAATAATGCGACGGCGAAAATTATCCGTTCCGGTCACCTGGCTCAGCTCTGGGCCAGGCCCGAGAAGTCCGCTCAGTCACTCTCCTGGCTGGGTGACCAGATGGGGTATTTTGTACTGCTGGCTGTGTGACTGCAAAGCGGTAATCCTTTACTTTATAATCCCTCCAATAGCAAACCCCCCACAAGTCATTCAGAACACACCGTACCTCTTCCAAACCTGGCCCTCAGCGATGTGGCAGCCTCCGACCTGGCTTTCGACGGGTCCGTTGGACCAATGAGCTCCCTCCATCTGGCAATGGCACTTTCCCCGACGAGCTCAAACGCCAGGACTGGTCCACTTGTGACGTAGTTGATGAGGTCCCTGGCGTGGGAAAAAGTCAGGTCAATACATGTCACGACGCGGCACGATCAGGCGCACGTCAGTTGTTGGGCATATGGAGTTATTGGTTTCATCTTAAAGCTTGTTCATTTATCTTGCTTTTGACGAAAAAATTACCCCTGTATCTTGAATAGCAATTGAGATATTTTGGATTGAAGGAGCAAGGGGTCACCTGGTTTTAAACGTAAAATAAGTGAGAAAAAGGCTGTAAAAGTTTGGTGACTTCCAAAGCTGGAGAGCCCTTGGAAATCTGTAAATTTGCATTCTTTGTTCTCTGATTCCATGAGTTTCCGTAAAATCGACACAGCTGTGGACATAAAAGATGCTGAGCCTTACAATAAGTATTCAATAAAAATTGCCAAACGGGAAGAGCATTGCCTTTATTTCGATATCGTTATTTTGACGAGTGCCTGATTTCAACAAAATGCCTCACATGTACAAATTTTTCCATTATCACATTATCGCCTCTCCTCTATCTTGTGTCAAACGAAACCCTCATTCAACAATCCAAGATCACTGTCCAAATCTCATCTCAATTAGAGTTAGAGAAATGGCATGTATTCCAGTATGCTTTCAGATCACTCAACTGAGCTACACAGTAACCCCTTAACCTGGCCTAGTCACTTCTATTCTTCTATTTTGATACAGATGAAAACCTGAACCTGATTAGATAAAAAATGAATTCCTCACAGGCGTGGAAGAAGAAGTTTACAACAACTGTTTTTTTTAACCTCACCCTTTTTGTGCTGTGGGAGGGAGGGGGAGGGGGAGGGGGAGGGGGAGGGGGAGGGGGAGGGGGAGGGGGAGGGGGAGGGGGGTGTTTTTACCTTTTCATCACACTGACAGTTTATAAAGATGCACTTGACAAAGTAAGAATGAAGTGTCAGATCTTTCATTACATAGATCTCTCCATGCTTTTCTTATAAATAAAAATCACCTGTACTTCTAACCACCTCACAAAACGTGCCTCACAAGTCACACTTCCCTACGTCTGTCAGTGAACACACAGAAAGGAAAAGTGGATTTGGGGAGGATTTCACCTTAGAACATAACATGTTCCCCTCAATCAACATCTCAACCGAACTGGAGCACCGCAGTCTGCTGCCTGCCCACTATGTGACTACCCCTCAGAGACAGCGGTACATCATCTGTTCTTCTGTAGAAAACTAACCACGGATCTGAGGGGGGATGTTTTCTTCCCAAGCTACCCCACACATCTAACTGCCTCTACTCCTCAAGACAACAGTTAGAACAGACATGCAGCTATTACAGAATGACATCATGCTGAAGGGTTAACGCTCAGATGCTACTGGATCGCTACTAACAACAACAACAACCTTATAATGAGAGGAGCTCAGCAGCTTTTCCTAAATATCTCAAGGTCCCAAAACACACACACTTCACAGCAGAATCCTTACTTCATAAAACTCTTCCCGCTGTGTTCTTCGTAAAATTTGAAGGCATCGTTTTGTCCGAGGTGGCACAAACGCATCCTGGAGATGAGTAGACCCCTCTGGTAAATGGCGTCAATCACATCGCCCATTTTGTCCAGTGTGTCGGGCTTGATGAATCCTAGCGTCCTGTCAGCGACCACGGTTGGGAAATGAAGGAAAAGACAACTTCAATCAACTGAACAGAGAAATTCAGTGTACAAAGTTAATTTCCAATCCAAATACTGTGTTAGGATATCCCACCATGCAGCACATTTCTTATATGATTAGATAAGTGAAAGTGGAGCTTTGAAATGTTAAAGAAGTCGCCAACTCTTCTCTGCAACAATTGGTCTCATCAGCCACAGCAGAAGCCACAGGTCATCTTAACCTTTTTTTTTAAATTCTTCTATTTTGCCGGAGAAATACTTTCCTCAGTGGATGTATTGATCAGATTAGACGGACGAGCTATTATTGTTACTCTTCTCCGTGGTAATATTTATAAATTACCACACACAAAAAAGAAAACACGTACCTTTCCAATTTATTTGAAAGCATCCTCTTGGTAAATTCGTCCCCATAGTCAATGATCTGTAGCTGCCTTCCCAACACGTTGACCGAAGCTCCCAGGTACAGGTCGTGCAGCTCCACTGGACAGTTCGCCAAGTTTGTTTTCAAGAACATCTTGCGAGTTTTGATGTCAAACTGTAAATGCATCACATTAATTTTTCAAATTGTTTCTGTACCATGATAGAGTAAGTGGCTTGATGTATCTTTTCCCACCAACAATATCTGATCCTCCTCTTCTTGTTAAGACCCTTGAGTCACATCACTTACTTTGTTCTAAACCATTACAAAACTTCATTCTTTCCCCAACCAGTACTCAAGCAATCAGAAATGCCCCTTCCTTACCATGTCAAAGAAGAAAAAAGACACACTGGGGTCTTGATACTTAGAACATTCAGAAACACAAATATTGGAATAAAAAAAGATGAACACACACAATAAAAACATAAATGAAGAGCAGTTGAGAAATGAGAACATTTGCTGTAGTTACCATCTCAAAACTTTTACTCTGTGCAAAGTAAAAGAACTGGAAGGTCCTTGTGCGAGCGGCCATCTCCTCGTACCACTCCACAATGAAGGCATACCGTCCCTCGTCAGCCTGGGGAAACACAGAGTTCCAACATTTGTTTCACATGAGGTCTGTCGTGCTTCAAAAAAATTTCTGCTTCTCTTGAAACAATGAAAAAATACAAAACTTTCAAAGCAGAGAATTAATATAACTTAACTGATTCTCTCCGTAATTTTTCCAGTGTCTGGACACAATTAAATATGGTCGCCTACTTTTTCACAAGGGGTGGGTTAGTATTTTTAATTGTTTGTGTTCTACTGTGATAGAAAGTATACAACATGTTGTACCAAAAGAAACAGAATTGAAATGCCCATGCAATGAGCTATCATTCAGAGCGGAGATAGCAAAAAAATGAGTAAGTTACGGCAGTGCAAAGAAGCAAGAAATCAAAGATGAATGTTTGCACATCAAATTTTTTACTTAGGACACCACATTTTTCTCGACTTCTAGGATAACTTTCAGGTTGTTGCTGCCTTTTCTATGTATGTAATCCAAATGAGAATGCATGAGAAGTATGGAGGCCATTGATCCAATAGTTGTCCATTTATGAGGTTTTCTTGACAAAAACAATGCAAGAAGAATGGCGCAACTCTGGACTCAAAACATGTACTTGCAACTCTTCCAAACCGCCTTAAAATTTGAAAGGAAGTTGTTACAAATGGGGAACAAAAGTAGTAACAGTGTGTCTGGCAAGTATAAAACTAGAACTGACGGCAAAGAAGACCAAAACTGTTTGCGCCACTCTTAGCCATGTAGCGTTCATATTGTGAGAACCGGGCGCCATTCTCAGCCATGTAGCGTTCATATTGTGAGAACCAGGCGCCATTCTCAGCCATGTAGCGTTCATATTGTGAGAACCGGGTGCCATTCTCAGCCATGTAGCGTTCATATTGTGAGAACCGGGCGCCATTCTCAGCCATGTAGCGTTCATATTGTGAGAACCGGGCGCCATTCTCAGCCATAGCACAGAGAAACGATTAAAAAAACCTTACTGATTATTATGACAAAATCCTGTGACAGACATGTTCACTAGAGTCATTTTTTGAACGAAAGGCATCCTAGCTATAGTAGCTAACTTGTCAAGTTAACATCTCTAAAATTAGGCAGATATGTATCATATCTGACATAGAACATTTTATATCATGTACCTCAGCTGTGAACACTCTGAACACCATTGTTCTATATATTTTTTTTGCTTGGACAAAAATTGCAACTCTTACCATTTCCCTGGGTTCACCATCCAGAGAAAGATGAATTCAAAGTGTAAACAAAGAGGTGGACTACTATCTAGGTTGTTTGTACCACCTGTTTGGTATCCTTATCCATCATAATGCATTCCGTTACTGAAACAGGCCTACCTTACGGACAAGAGTAGGCCTAATGCCCGAGTGTGACTTTTTTTACCCGCTGCATGTATACACTGCACTGTATATATCAGCATGTGGTCGTGTAAATTTAACAATCAACCAACGTTGAGCACCATTTTCAAGAATTTTGATAACATGTTCCTGCCAATGAACTATGTAACAATTCACCATCCATAGTCCATTCTGGCTTCTTCAAAATTCGCAGTGTTCTAACAAACCTCATACTTCACTTTTTTCTGTGATGGAAATTGAAGGACTGAAGATGAGTACCATGCCTTTGAAATTTGCATGCATCTCTTGTAATATTCAAAGCCTGTCAGATATCTTGATGTATCCCAGATGTGGTAGTCGACTAGATCTAGAATCTAGATTCTAGTTGTCAATATAACTGACTGTTAATGATGGTAGATCTAAGTGTAAGCCGCAAGTGTAAGCATCATCTCTTCAAGTCACAACGACGCGATTTGAAATTGGGTGGATTACTTTGGTCTGGAGACTCGAAAAGGGGTTTCTATTCCGCTGGAGACAGTATTCTATGTATACATGCAAAACGTAACAAAATATTGGGTGTCAATAACTCACCATTTTGAGTGTTCTGTGATGAATAACAGCCTTGGAAGGTGAAAGATCCCAACCCGATGGCAATACCACTGTTCTTGTTGTAGCAACAGCAACTGTGTGGCTGTTCGGTTATAACGATTGATTTCATTGGCTGAACAAGTGCTTCCGTTAGTCAAGTTCAGTTTGGGAAACGAAGTTCTCCGTAAATATGAAATGTTTTATATCAACCTTTCGGAAATGTACGGTGAATACTTTATTTTGGGCATCGGTGGTGCCGATTGCCGACCATCAACTTCCTCTTCCTGTTCGTCGTTTCGCCTCAGCAAATAATGGGCTGTGACAAGTGACGGTGACACATAATGAGATGAGTGGAAACTAATAGATCTACCTGTGTAAAAGACGTCACTGCCTTTTATTATTTTTCCAATATGGTGAGGTTTCTGAAGTGTTAGTTGTTCGTTGAGAAAAAGAATTGATTTTTGAATAGCTTAAAGCGAGAAAGGATGAGATTGAGGGCGTGTGTTTGCTCCAGGACCAGTGCCAGTGTGTAGCAGTCTCTACTTCAACATTATCAAAATCAATATTCGACATTCTCTTAGTCTTAGTCCTACTTATTATGACTATGTAACTAATAATATAGATACTAATGAAGCTGTTCTGACCTTGGTCCCTTTTCTAGGTAAAGTTTGCGGATTTCAGGGGGGGTTCCCCTGCTTTAAATGCTGGAATGCAGGGGAAAGAAGTAATGACAGTTTAGTTTTATGACATGATGTCAATGAAGCTCAGTGATTTATTTAGTTTTGCCAATGATATCATGCCAATTGCCTATTTTTATAGACTATTTATATAGATCTAGGCCTACAGTACTGCAGAATTGGCAGATTGAGAATGCGCCATGGATAATGGCCACCTCTATTCTCACCCGGAGTGAGAATAGTGCAGGCGAGTCTTGTGGCTATTCTCATCCGGTGCGCGTTCACCAAATTTTGCGTTCACCCTAAACCACAGAATTCTACACTGTGATAACAGAAAAATTGTAGAATTCTGTGCCGTGAACAAATGTTCCATTACAACTGTAGCCTACTAAAAGCGTACAATTTTGTCTGTGGGCAGTGGAGAGAGAGAGAGAAAGAGAGAGAGGAGTAGCGCGAGAATTTCCGGGCAAAACAAAATGGCGACCCGCGTAGTTCGGCTCGATTCGAAAAGTTAAATAGCCGTAGCATCTTTGTAGACAACCAAATTAATTTACTTTTGTGTTTTAACATCATTTTTTAACTTTGTTATGGTCAATTTGATCGTCCACACCGATAGACAGTATTCAGAAAGAGACAGAGAGAGAGAGAAGAGGGGAGGAGTTGATCTTGCGAGAACTTCCGGGCGGGTGAGAATAGCCACTTTCATGGATAATATTGTTTGCTAAATCTAGATCTAGATCTAGATATCTAGATTTAGATCTATCTAGGGCCTAGATCTAGTCTGTTTCTAACAGCTAGCAGAAGGACTTCCATATAACGAACGACCACTCCAACAAACATAGCCTAATAAAGAAGAGGCTCAACCCTAACTCTGTATACCCCAACCCTACCCTCACCCCTACCCTAGGGCTGCCGTTTTTCCGTTATTTTGGGCATCGTCCGTTCTTAAATTCGTTATCCGTTCATCGAATCCGTTCTCCATTTACCACGCAAAAGTGGTAGTGCGGGAAGCCGATTTTCCATTTTGTTCCTTACGGATGGAGTGGCATGATGGTCCATATTTGTAATCAAGCAACGGAAGTAGGCCTACACTCACTCTCAAATCAAAATGCGCATGAGCGACCGGATGTTTAGGTCTGATTTCAAATGAAGGCCAGGCCTAACCTAGCTTCGTCGTTTGCTAAATCTAGTCTCGAAAGAATGTTAAATTATTTTTTCAAAAGTCCAGTGGCATTTCTGCTACCTCTACCCCAGCCCCTAACCCTAACCCCCTGTTCTACTCTGTTTCATAGTGGTCGCTCGTTACCGAATTCCTCCCTAGCTAACAATAGGGGACAATCCAGTTTTGGCCCCAAGGATAACTATGGAGTATGGGTTTTGGCTCCACTGATTATTTCTCGATCGAAATGATTACTTTTCGCTGCTCGTGCCAATACGATGTTTGTCGGACAGCGAGCGAGAGAAATCAAAGCTGATTGCAAAAACATTAAATTATGGTTACATACAGGGGACCCCCCCCCCCTGAAACACCCCCTTTTTTTGAGTCGAGGGGCATGAAAAAAAAACCCTTATAAAAACAAGAAGTGAAATTACTGCCCATTTTGTACTGGGAAAAAAAAAGCAGCGCATCTCTCTCTCTCTCTCTTTTGAATTGAAAAATATCAATACCAAGTATTTAAGTCAGTATCGATATTCCAGTAGTACTCTTGTGGCCAAAATCGGAGAAAGCCAAAAATTGGCCAATAATAACGTGTAACATGGGAGTGAAGGAGGGATTCTCTGTTTCACTGACTTTAACTTGTAGATTAGGCCGTGGTGGTGCCTTGCTTCAGCTCCTGTCTCTGCTGATAACTCCTCACACTTTTGAGGTAGTTACTGCTGCTAGTCCTATTTTTGCTCAACTTCCTGTGGATTAACTTGAACAAGTAGCCACTCTTTGCTCAGCCTCCACTTATTGACTCTCTGCAATGTGTTTTGATGAAAATGAAGAAAACAAAGCATTCCGTTGTGAGCAGAGGACTAGAAGAGTTTACTGAGTCTGAGTGAAGGGGCTTTTTTTCCAAATTGGTAATTCTTCTTGTTCCCTTTCCTGACAGATGCAGTTTATGCTGCTGTTTAGCCGTCAAGGCAAGCTGAGGTTACAGAAATGGTTCGCAGCTCATCCCGACCGCACAAAGAAGAAGATCACGCGTGAGCTGATCACCCTTGTTCTCGCAAGAAAACCAAAGATGTGCAGTTTTCTCGAGTGGAAGGATCTCAAAATTGTATATAAAAGGTAACAATTGTCTCGTGGTAAACTGACATACATGTCTTATTTTGGGTAGAAAGTTGTGTGAGCGTTGTGGAAGAAAGCTTTGAAGTTGGTTCCCTCGTTTGCCCCGAGTTGTCTCACATTGGCACTGACGTTCAGTCTCAGTCTCAGTAAGTTGTCTCACATTGGCACTGACGTTCAGTCTCAGTAAGTTGTTCCTGTCTCAGGCTCAATATGAACAAGCACCACTGATGTTGTTTGAAGTGTCTTAGACGAAAAGAAAGTATGGAATAAAGGAAAGAGATATGTGGAAAAGAGGAAAAGAAACATTTACGGTTTTAAAGACTCTTTAACCAGTTGGGTCACTGTCTTTTTTTTCAAAGAACAGCCTTCCCCCCCCCACCCCCCCCCACCCTCGGGGCAGTGCTGCTGACTGAAGTTGTCTAGCCATTCCCAAAGGGGGGACATTAATATGTTCTTATACACAGTAAAATTGTAAATGGTCTGATTCATCAATGCCATGCTCATGACTGTGCCTGAACTGCAACAGGGAACTGCTGCTTTTTCTTTCCTCATCCTTACTATCGTCATTTTCCTCTACTTCTTTTGTATGTTTGTCACACTTTTGTGACCCACTATTTCTGGGGTGCCTTGATAGTTGAAGCAGACTTTGTGCTGTTGAGGCTAGAGAGATGAGCAGAGTAACCCTGATTCCCTGTATGGACTTCTCTGTTGACATCCACCCCTTGGCGCTCATATGACCTTATGCAGTGCGAGCGCCGTAAAACCTCTACTGAAACAAACAAACAAAGATGGAAATGACTGTTCTATTTTGAATGTTTTCAGGTATGCTAGTCTATATTTCTGCTGTGCAATAGAGCCTGATGATAACGAGTTGCTGACCTTGGAAGTGATTCATCGCTACGTGGAGCTACTGGACAAATATTTCGGAAGTGTGAGTAGCGTTGATAGGACAGGTTGTCTTGTTGAAGAAATAAGGGGAGAAGATTTGTGGGTGGTTGACGGGTGCTCTGATATGGTTTACTCCTTCTATCCTATCAAACATCTATCGTCTTTATCTCCCCTCCTTCTTTTTTGTGTTTGTTACTCTCTTGTAACACCTGTAATCTTCGGCACTTATATGATCTTATTGTGTTGCAAGTGCCGTAAAACTCTTACTAAAACTAGGAGAAGATTTTAGGCTGTATACGATTTGTGCACAGTTATTTTTGGCCATCTCGTGGTGTCATAGTGGTCTCAAGACATTGTACTGGAAAGTGCCTCGTGGTTTAAAAAAATCAAGATCGTCTGTGGCTTTGCTGTGACTGAGAAATATGCTTTGCTAAATAATTTCTTACAAAATTATAGTCTTGAAAAATGCAGCTCAGTGGGTGGTTGGCGGGTGCTGTGGTGTGGTTTGCTCCTTCTTTCCTTTCAAACATCTCTATCGTCCTGATCTCTTCTCCTTCTTTTTTTGTGTTTGTTACTCTCTTGTAACACCTCTAATCTTCGGCACTTGTATGACCTTATTGTGTTGCAAGCGCCGTAAAACTTTTACTGAACCTAAACTTACTCAAACTAAAAGGATTTGTCCCCCCTCAGGTCTGTGAGCTGGACATAATCTTCAACTTTGAGAAGGCGTACTTCATGCTGGATGAGTTCCTGCTGGGCGGGGAGGTACAGGAGACAAGCAAAAAGAACGTGCTCAAGGCCATCGCCGCCCAGGACCTGCTGCAGGAGGTGAGATCTGCTTTGGTTGTGTCTCGTGCCTGCCTCTCCCACTCTCTCATGTGTGTGTCCTCGCGCCTCTCCCACTCACTCGTGTGTGTGTCCTCGCGCCTCTCCCACTCACTCATGTGTGTGTTGTCAGCTCAGTGACCTCTCTACTCTATTACTTGACTGGAAAGTTTGCCTCTTCTAATTCTGTGTTATCATATCGCTTATATTTAACAGGTAATAACTCATTTCCTTGTCTTTATCTCTGTCGGCACTCTGCCTGATCTTGTTATACCATCAGATGGAAGTCTTCTTCTATTTGGAAACTTTCAAGGTAGGGAAAAACAAAAGCAGATGTAAATGAATGTAGTGGAACAAACTTTCAAATGTCGTCCTGTGAATCTATGGGATAATTACTTCTGTACGCTCTTGTTTTAAATGAAAAAAGTTTTGTTCAGACCCAAGTTTCATTTGTTTTTTAGCGAAGGTCATGAGATGTTGGCTATGTCTTTGATGAGTGTGTAGGTCAAGTGGATCTGTCTTGTCTGACTGTCAACTGAAAGGAAATTGTCTTTTATTGAAAACTTCCCAAGTCGTTTCTCCCTTTGGATAGTTGGAAAGTCACTGTGGTATCAGTTTTCTTGAACAACAGCATCTCCATCTCCTTGGTTTTGTTTTCCTCACAACACTTTGTTCTTCATCCTTCGCTCAGTAGTGTTTTTGTACTTTATGCACTAATGCTTGTGTAGAAATAACCCAGGAGGAATGAGCAACTAAGCTTGGGTGTGGGTGGAGAGTGGCACAAATCACATCTCAGGCACGTTTCTCCACGGAGAGAAAGGGCAGTGGGACGCAAGGAGAAATGCATGCATGGAATCTCTCGGTTTTGTCACTTCCTACGCCCTTGTGTGCAACGACGCTCCCTGTAGATAGGTCAGCAGCACCTGTCCCAACACAGTCCATGACGGGATATCATCGTCCTTGTACATGTAGCGACCGACGTCAGGCAGGGCCCTCTATTGTTGCGTCTGGAACAGTTTCTCCACCGAATCCCTCACAATTAACAAAATTCCCTCGCACCTCCCCCCCACACCTCCTCCCCAGGCAGCCTCTAGCCCTGCACCCCCCATACCTCCTCCCCTCACAGCCTCTAGCCCTGTGTATTCTTGGCCTGGCATCTTGGTCTTACAATCGACAACAAATTTACATGGCAAATGACGCAAACAATATCGTTAATAAGGTAGATCAGAGGCCTGTCTTGTTGTGCGCGTGCGTGAGTGCACCTAAACTTTGTAACGTCTACTGCTATTGTTAACGACCAAGACAAATTTCTCCCTGCGAGATGAATAAAGATTGTCATTGTCATTGTCATGGTGCAAACTTGGACATTGTTTGAAATGATGAAGTTTGGTGTTTGGATAGTTGATCCTGTTGAGGTCAGGCGAATTGTCTCCAACCTTTTTGTTAAGTGTTCTGAGGAGAAAAAGATAATGTGTAGATTCTAAAAATTATTTTTGGGTTGTTTGAGAATGAATGATATGGTTCACTGGGTTTTATTTTTAAAAGGGGGTTTCTTTTTTTCTGTGTGGTGTAATTTTTTATGTGATTTAAAAATGCTAGACTTACAGGTTCCTTTTTTCTTT